TGTGTGTGTGTGTGTGTGTGTGTGTGTGTAGCCTATATATATAAAACCTTGCTACGTGTACTGCGTTTTAACCGAGACTTGTCATTTGCACTTATATATTGTTGCTCTTTTGTTAGTTTTGATTGCTTCTATTGTCCTCATTTGTAAGTCGCTTTGGATAAAAGCGTCTGCTAAATATCTAAATGTAAATGTTAATGTAAATTATATCATTATGTAACTAATGCTGATAAAAACGCCAATTCAGAGAGAATTCTGAGAGATAGCCAGAAAGAAATGAGAGTAAATATAGTCAGTAATACAAACAAATAATTATTAAATTATGAATAACAATTAATCCTGATAATAGCGTCAGTCATTAGTCAGTATGGATAAAGAAGGTTTGATGAATGCGGCAGATAAACCAGAATTTCATAAATTCATTTCATGACTTTTTTTTTTTCTTTTTTAGTTGTACTGCTGGAAAATCATGTGATAAACCACAACGAAATAAAATAAATAGTTGCTAAAGTTGTCGATTCCCTGCAGTGCAGGAAGGACGTCGTGCACGCACACACGCTCGAGATCTCCACGCGCTAGTCAGAGCAGATGCAGCTCGCGCACGCAGACGAACATCGCGCATTATTTCATTCGGAATTAAAGTGAATTAAAACGTCCTCGGTACAAGACTGGAGTTATTCGAGTTAAGGTAAAACTCCAATTCAGCCTTGTGTCTTTATGCTTTGGTAATTTCGCTTCATTCTGGGTCAGAAGAAATTGAGAGTCACGTAATCTGAAAGTTTACTTCTGTATACTTCTTTTCAAGCGCAAATGTATGTACAAACCTTAATTTTCAAAATAACGCGTGGTTAGTCATTGCTTCTGTTCAATACTTTACTAGGTATAAATAAATTAATATATATAATGTCATGTAACCCTAACATATAAAATATACATTGATCATGTATGTTATCAATTCTGTAATGTTTGTTAATGTTCAAGGTTACATTTTAAGTTAACTTGAAAAAGGAATAAAAGTCTTATTAAATTAAATTTAATAAAAGTGATTAGCAGGACAGCAGACATGTCATTTTATTATCTTTAAGACAAATAGGTACATACACAATAAATCTAATCAGCATCGGATATACCTTATTCTAATTATTTTTTATAGATATATACTATAAAGTATTAAATAAGATAAAAAAATATTAGCAATGGTAAAGTTGGAACATTGATTCAGGATCAGGGTCAGATAAGGACAAGCATTTAACTAGAGAGATTCACTACAATGAATAGGTAGAGTAGGCAGATTTTTTAAACAGCAAAAATGTTTATTATGTCTCCTGCACATTCACTCAGGGCTTTGATAATATTGTCAGTTCTGTCTGACTCAGCAGGATGTTCAGATTAGTCACTTTCTCAAATCACTTCAGGTCATTTCAGAGCAGCGGCGCAATTGTTTTTGTGCACTCAAGTCACATTTTGAAATGCTTCTTGGATTGTCTTAGTGGATAAAAGTCATCATATTAGAGGTTTCCATTAGCATTCCCTTACCCCACAAACACCCAGACTGACTCCACACAGTCCATCTATGCTAAATGCGTCTCCTTCTTGATGTTTTCTCAGAGTTAGAGTCAAGCGTCTCAAATGGAGACAGAAGCCATGGATGTCCAACAGCAGGACGGAGCGCAGGGCAGCGCACCGGACAGGGTCGTGCCCCAGGAGAATCATGTCCACACGACACAACCACAGGCCATCCGCAAACCTGACGTCACAGGTGAGAAGGATGTTTATGAAGCAAATTTTTGAGCATATGTAGCTTTTAAGCTTAGTTCGCATTGGAGAAAATGTATTTAAAATTGCAACATTTACAAATACAATTTTTGAAAGCATAATGACATTAACTTCATCCAAAAATGAAAGTTTGCTGAACATTTACTCACCCACAGGCCATCCAGGATGTAGATGAGTTTGTTTCTTCATGGGAACAGATTTGTAGCAGGAGAAATGTAGCATTACATCACTTGCTCAGCAATGGATCCTCTGCAGTGAATGGGTGCCGTCAGAACGAGAGTCCATACAGCTGATAAAAACATCACAATAATCAACAAATAATCCACATCAATCCAGTCCATCAATTAATGTCTATCCATAATATTAATGCACAGCTTAAATGCCATCTTCAAGCAAAGTCTAAAACAGTAAACAAACAGGAGATTGACTTTTTCACTGGAAGAAGCGTTATTATGGATTATGGACTCTTGTTTTTTTTGACCAGATGTCATGGTTTAAAATGAAAACCTCTTTATAATGGATTTGTTTCTTACAAACACACAGCTTTTCACTTCACAGGACATTCATTGATGGACTGGAGTGGTGTGGATTATTGTGATGTTTTTATCAGCTGTTTGGACTCTCGTTCTGACGGCACCCATTCACTGCAGAGGATCTATTACAAGCAAGTGATGTAATGCTACATTTCTCCAAATCTGTTCTCATGAAGAAACAAACTCATCTGCATCTTGGATGGCCTGAGAGTAAATACATTTTCATTTTATGATGAACTATTCCTTTAAATAATTGTCTGTGACTAACAGGTCCTGTCTCAGCTGAGATTGTTGACAGCGGAAGCAACGAGTCCCTGACAGATGGTGTCACAACCAATGACGACGCTTTACTGCTTCCTGACCACATACCTACAATTTCACGCAAAATAGAGAAAGGCAATGGTATCTACATTTTATACGAACTGTAATGTATTAAAATGTCTTTTAATACATTACATTTACATACATTTGAATCAAAATGAATTTTAATAGGCCTATATTAAAATGTGATTTGAACACATTTCAGTGAAGCCCAGTCTTCCCAATGGCTCCTCTCCTCCAGTCAGTGGGTCTGCTATCATCCATACACCGCCGGCTTCTTCATCAGGAGGATCGACACCTCGCCCAATAACACAAAAGAAATGCAACGGACATGCAAAGTGCAACGGACACAAACACCCTCACAGAAAACACACGCCCTCCACCTCCAAGAGCCAGCAGAGCTTCAAAGGTGATGCTTCACAGATACAGAGAGTAGCTGGAGACGGTAAGAAAATCATTAGCTCTTTCAAAAATATATCTATTGGTTCAAGCCACAATCAAACATTCAACCATTTAGTGTCAATATTTTTATGTCTTTTTAGAGCACGTGGGGCATGTTTGAAAAGAGGCCTCCACCCACAGAGCTATTCGTAAATATAGGGCCTGGTCTTATCTTTCAACAACACTAGGACTGGCCTGTGGTTTTATCTTCATGTGTTTAATGGTCCCTTCACGTCAGCGCTTGATAATTCTTTCCATTAGGTCAAACGTCTCTGTTTGATGACTAACTCACATTAGTAGATAAATATATTCTTCTACATTAGATATCAGTGACTTTAAACACTCAGAGGGCTTGATGTTTTGATAATATCATGAGTTTGTGAGATTTTTTCAAATGTTGTGAAGGAATTCACATGATTTAAATAGATAAAATAAGAACATTCTGGTGGTATCACTATGTTTTTGTGTGCTTGAAATAGAAATGGCTAACAAAAATTACCTTATTTACTACATTATTTATAGTCAATATTTTTGAATGTAGAAAAAAAGATTGCTGTGAGTTTTCAGAGGGTAATATAAGTGTAAACATAACTAAATGATAATAAAAGGCCAGTAAAGACTTAAAGGCAGAGTAAGTGATTTCTGGTAGCCAATGTTGATATTTGAAATCACCAAAACAAACACGCCTCTACCCCAAAAGGGTCTTGCCCCTATTTTGATAGCTCCGCCCCACATATACGTACGCAACCCAGGCAACGATTAGTTCTGTGAAACAAAGCAAAACTAATGTTACACCGTGTCTACGGACGTGAGTGGCGCGGCGCAACAAATCCCGACAGAAAACTGCTGCCGGGTTCTATTTATGACGTGCTGACTCACATTTCAAATGGTTTTCAACGGTCGTTTGACCTCTTTCTCGCGTCCAGTGTAGGCAGACTTTAGTTGTTGTAGACACGGTGTTACTCACCTATTGAGAAGAAACAAAGCAACCTCGGCGTCCGATCGCAGGCCTCCGCTCCTTGAGTTCTCTCCAGCGCTGGAAAGCTGATCCGATATTTACACGGGTCCTACTTCTTGCCTTATCGTTCCGCAGACGTTTTCCTCTTTTGTTTTTTATCCGCCATCTCTATCTTTCTGTCACTCGGCTCGGCTAATGTCCGTCCCATGCACTGAAAGCTCTCTCCTCCACATCACGAGATGAGTAGACACGCCCCTTATTGCTGATTGGCTACAAGTTTGTTTTGCTATTCGGCCCGAATCAGTTTTCTAAAGTGTTTTTGAAAAATCACATACCCTGCCTTTAAGTTTGAATACTGTGATCAAAAAAATGATAATGTCACTCTCTTGATTAACATCAAAAAGTTAAAATCATCACAAAAAAAAAAAATAAATATCACAGCATAACTAGGTTGGGGGAAAAAGTGCATAAAAGTTATCAGAAAATGCATAAAACATTTTAGAAAAAAAAATTACTCAGTGGCAGGATATTGTAATTTCAAAAATGGCTTTTTTGTATTCTAAACTAAAGCTAATACATAATACCTTTATAGTTATTTTTCACCTTGAATAGATCAAAAGTGACAGTAAAGACATTTATTTATATATTAAAAAATATTTTTATTTCAAATAAATGCTTTTTTTTTCATTTCTGTTAAAGAATACTGAAAAAGGTATCACTGTTTCCACAAAAATATTAAGCAGCAAAACTGTTTAAAAAAGTAATAGCCTAGTAAGAAATGTTTCTTGAGCAGCAAATCAGCATATTAGAATGATTTCTGAAGGATCATGTGACACTGAAGACTGAAATAAAAGTTTTGCATCCCAGAAATAAATTACATTTTAAAGGGATCATATGATGCTGCTAAAAAGAACAGTATTTTGTGTTTTAAAATTGCAACATTTCACAATATTGTTGTTTTTACTGCATTTTTGATTAAATAAATACAACCTTGGGGAACAGAGAAACTTTCAAAAACATTAAAAAGTCCTTTGCATTGCATGTAAGTTTTACATCTTTCAAATAATATGACAAAGTCCTAATTATATCATTGCATGTCATAAGGTCACAAAAAGGGCACAAATTGTTTCAAATACTGTCATAAAAACATGTACGTTTATGGCTGTTTTCAGACTGCTGTGCACACTGCATCCTAGCCTGTCTGTTCTGCGAGGTGCTGTCATGGTGTTCGGCTGTGGCTCAGTGTTTGGCCTGCGGTCTGGAGTGTGACGCTCTCTGCTGCTGTGGGGAAGCAGCCACCGGTGGTCTGGCGTGCTGTGCTGAGGACACCTGCTCTGCCCTGCTGGATTGTGGGATACTGGAGGACTGTTGCCAGTCTTCAGACTGTCTGGAGATCTGTTTGGAATGCTGCTCCATCTGTTTCCCGACCTAAACGGGATTCTCTACAGAGTGATATCAAGTGCTCAAAGGACTGTAAGCATTGGATACAGTATATTATATTGTTTTCCAGCATTTTGTATTTATTCAGTATGAAGAATGAATTTGCTGCATCGATCAAAGTTGGACTGTTCTGTACGAGGCTACTCTCTGAGGCCTTAAACCTGAAGTGTGTTATTTTTTGTTTGTTAAAATACACACAAAATCCATGTTTGAATGTGAATCATTGCTTTGTTTATTGGAGAATTGACCAATGGCGTTAGTTCAGGAACTCTTTATCACTATTGAAATTCTGTTTGGTGACACTAGTGGCACAGAAATGACACACTTCATCTTTAACGGTGAAGAGCAAAAGATTTAGTTTACTGCACTTGCATTAACATTACCGTTCAAAAGTTTGGAGTTGGTAAGACTGTGCTGCAAAACATGATTTTGTTCTTGTTTTTCAGTACAAATATCTAAACCTTGTTAAATCAAGGTACTTGAGGTACTTATGATATTAGGTCTTGTTTTCTGGAGTTTATGCATAAAACAAGAAAAAAATATATTTTAGTTGGCTAAGAAAAATAATCTGGTTTTCCCTTTAAATTAAGTTTATTTGTTTTAAGCATAAACTCACTTAATTTTGCTGATTTATTTCAGACAACAAGACTTCATATCTTAGGTTGCTTCTCAAGTAAATGTATTATGATTCAAGAATTGTTAGAATTTGTAATTATTGTAATTAAAAACAACATAAATATTAGTAAGAAAATCATTTTCTGAAGGGTGTTTAACGTTTTTGACAATAAGGCTGCGGTTATTTGGTCAAAAAATACAATAAAAACTGTAATATTGTGAAATATTATTACAGTTTAAGTTTTCTATTTGAATACATTTTAAAATGTGATTTATTTCTGTGGATTTTCAGCATCATTACTCCAGTCTTTAGTGTCACATGATGATCCTTCAGAAATCATTCTAATATACTGATTTGCTGCTCAAAAAAATCCACCTTTAAGTGGAATAATTCTTTTTGCACTTGTGAGAGCTTAAGTTTTAAAGTTTTCCTCCAGTACGCTTAAAGATGTGTCACTCTTCTACATTCTCTTCTTCATTAATAATGAAGCAAACATGTGCATGCTTGAAAAGCCTGCATTAAACATTTTCATCAACTGTGATATTTTATATTGCTTAGAAAAAAATCTCAAATCTCATTTGTTCTGAAGAAACATTTTGTTTTAATAATACATTCTCTGTGTTTTGAAGAGTTTAGCATGACAGCTGAGATTGAGGCGTGAGGATCTTTTGTTCTCTGTTCGTTCTCAGCACTCTTATCTAAACTGTGTGTGGCAGGAAGGCTGGGCGATGCAAAAATAACCAGTCAGGATGACTATAAAGCGCTTGCATATTCCTCCGGGCATGTTGAATTTCACAGGCTTTCTCCAGATGACTCTGCCCAGTGTTTAGACAGCGGGCACTGCTCTAGAGAGAGCTGATGTTGAATCTGGCAGAGGGACAGAGATCTGAGTCCAACAAAAGCCACACAAGATCTACTGACACCACCTCCAGCACTCCCTTCATCCCGCTGAGAGTTACACATTATAAACATCAGCTAAAAACGCCCTATCTGCCCTCTATCACTGATTTCTTGAATATGTAATTCAGCAAATAACGAATTGTAATATTTGAAAATGTGTTTAGCAAGGTAGGTTTGATTTTGGCATTGGTAGGGACATAACAGACATTTATTTGTTTAATCAAAATTATTGCTAGGGACAATTTAGTAGTCACTGGATATTGGTAGGGACATGTCATAGCGTCCATACTAAATTCTACGCCCTTGAAAATAATAAGTGATGTCTGACTTTGGAAACTATAGTTCTCTCCTTAAATATGAAGAGGGCAAGCAACAAATTAATGAGTTAATCCAAAATTCAAACAAAGCGTATGGACATAATTTATAAATATATTAAGTCAGACATTGAAGTGACTTGCTGTTTTTGTCACTTTTCTGAGGAAGATGTCATGCATTTGTTTTAGCAAAGTACCCACACAGAAAGCATGTGAAAACTGCATCTCTATATTTAACCTATGTGTCTTTTTAAGTATGTGTCTTTTTAAAAACATGCTACACTAACCATAGTTTAACCATGGTATTTGTAGTAAAACTGTGGTTATACAAAAAGAAGAAAAACAAAACAAAACTGGTTACTACTTCTACTATAGTAAAACCACGGTTAATTTTTTCTTAAGGGATTTGTATTTGTGTATACTTTATTGCTTTTTTTCTTTGTTTTGTTTTTATAACTCTACTGCCTTAATAAATATAGAATAAAAATAAATCAGAAAAAAAGATTCGAGATACATGCTCCGAAGTTCCTATCTGAATCAAAAGATTCACGAACCCGCTTCGAAGTTCCGGTCTGAATCAAATGATTCACGAACCCGCTTCGAAGTTCCTATCTGAATCAAAAGATTCACGAACCCGCTTCGAAGTTCCGGTCTGAATCAAATGATTCACAAACCCGCTCCGAGGATCCGGTCTGAATCAAATGATTCACAAACCCGCTTCGAAGTTCCGGTCTGAATCAAATGATTCGCGATACGCAAAGTTCCGATCGAAATTCGCGATAAGCACTTAACTACACTATTTCATCATAAAAAAATTAAAATAATAAGGTATCACAGTTTCCACAGTAAAATAGTAAGCTACACAACTGTTTTCAACATTGATAATAATAATAAATGTTTCTTAAGCATCAAAACAATAGTATAAATATAGTTTAAGTTCTCAGTTTTTTTTTTATCTGTGCATTAGAATGTTTATTTTTTCTGTGCAAAAAATAATGTCTATCATACACTTTTACCATGATTTACAGAAGACACCCTCTAAAATTACATTTAGTTTGTATATACATAAAAAAATCTTGTCAAGCATATTTAGAATAAGACTCATTAGATGACATTTAAATTCTTCATTTAAAGATCACAGTGCAGCCCCCCAAAATTAATTAACTGTCATTTTAAGTCTTTACCATCCTTTATATATATATATATATATATATATATATATACAGTTGTGCTCATAAATTTACATGCACCTTGCAGAATATGCAAAATGTTAATAATTTTAACAAAATAAGAGGGATCATGAAAATTGCATGTTATTGTTTATTTAATACTGTCCTGAATAAGCTATCTCACATAACAGATGTTTATATATTCTCCACAAGACAAAATAATAAATGAATTTATAAAAATGACCCCGTTCAAAAGTTTACATACCCTTGAATCTTAATACTGTGTGTTTCCTGGATGATCCACAACTGTTTTTATATTTTGTGATAGTTGTTCATGAGTCCCTCGTTGGTCCTGAGCAGTTCAACTGCCTGCTGTTCTTCAGAAAAATCCTCCAGCTCCTGCACATTCTTTGGTTTTCCAATATTTTCTGCATATTTGAACCCTTTCCAACAGTGACTGTATGATTTTGAGATCCATCTTTTCACATGGAGGACAATTGGGGGACTCGTACATAATAATAATATAAGGTGAAAACATTTACTGATGCTCCAGAAGGCAACACAATGCATTAAGAGCTGGGGGGTGTAAACTTTTTTAATTGGATGATCAGGGTAAATTGTACTTATTTTGTCTTCTGGGAAACATTTAAGTATTTATGTAGCTTCTTAAGTACAGTGCCAAATTAAAAAAATATGATCTTTAAACAAAATAAGAAAAATGTACACATCATCATCCTGTTCAAAAGTTTACACCCTCTGTCTCTTAATGCATTGTGTTGCCTTCTTGAGCATCAGTAAATGGTTCCACCTTTTGTGATACTGTAGCTGTGTATGAGTCCCTCAGATGCCCTCAGTGTGAAAAGATGGATCTCAAAATCATACAGTCAATATTGGAAAGGGTTCAAATATCCAGAAGATGCTGGAAAACAAAAAAAAGGCAGGAGTTGGAGGATTTTTCTGAAGTACAGCAGGCAGTTGACCTGCTCAGGACCAACAAGAGACTCATGAACAGCTATCACAAAATATAAAAACAGTTGTGGATAATCCAGGAAACAACACAGATTATTAAATACAAACTTTTGAACGGGGTCATTTTTATAAATTCAATTATTATTTTGTCTTGTGGAGAATATATAAACATCTGTTATGTTAAATAGCTTATTCAGGAGATTACTCAATAAAAATAACATGCACTTTTCATGATCCCTCTTATTTAGTTAAAGGGATAGTTCACCCAAAAATGAAAATTTGATGTTTATCTGCTTACCCCCAGGGCATCCAAGATGTAGGTGACTTTGTTTCTTCAGTAGAACACAAACGAAGATTTTTAACTCAAACCGTTGCAGTCTGTCAGTCTTATAATGGAAGTGAATGGGAATCACGACTTTGAGAGTCAAAAAACGTACACAAACAAAACCAAATTAAACCCTGCGGCTCATGTGACTGACAGACTGCAACGGTTTGAGTTAAAAATCTTCGTTTGTGTTCTACTGAAGAAACAACCGCAAAGCAAGAAGAAGAAGACACGTCAGGCGCCGGCTGATGAACGCGGTCAGAACAGTTTGGACATTGCGGTGAAACTCAGAGGTAAAAAACGATATAAATACTGTTCAGTTTCTTGCACAGACCGATCGTTTCGCGTCTTTACGAGATTGTAGATAGAGTGTCAATGGTCCATTTGAGATATAGATGGCGGTAATGCACTTATAAGTCTGCGATCCGCCGTAAAGCAAGCATTTTGGGTGAACTATCCCTTTAAAAGTATTAACATATTTGTATATTCTGCAAGGGGTATGTAATCTTATGAGCTGTATATATATATATATATGCTGTAAAGCAATCAGGTTGATTGCATGTGGAGATGAGTCTTACGTCCTGGACCGTGGGCTGCAGGGAAGCAGGAAGGCAGTGTTTATTGTACAGATGTGCCAAGTGGCGTCAACAGGAAGTGGAGGAAATGACTGAAATGACAGTGCTGGGGCGACAGGATAGGCCACACGGCCCTAATCCAGGCCCGGTTCTGACCCAGCGCTCCTGCTCGCTGTTTCAAAGAGCCGCCACCACTCTGTGTCTGCAGGGACAGGAAGCAGCTTTCAGCATCACTGCACCAAAAAAGACAAAACACAGTTTTATACATCAAAGCCCAAATGTCACGCCAGAGCTCAACAAGTCAGTAGGACAGTGGGTCTGCTCTGCTTAGATCATTACAATCCTGCTATACTAGCAGCAGAAATCCAACTGAAGTGAACTTTTTATTTTTCATCTGTGCTTTTGTTTCAGTGGCTTACAAATGACGAACTGCATACACAATGTAAATGAGCATCTGGCGAGTCTCCTGTAATCTGTGACGTCTTTTCCTCAGGGTCTGCATGAAGGGTTCGCTAGACGACTGACCACAATCCTCCTTTTGTTCATTCAAGGTTTTGGAGAAGAAAGAGTGCTGACGTCGTGAAGACTCTCACCCATGAAGAACAACAAACTCTGCAGATTCTTCATGTCCGAGGAGCACCGCAACATTCAAATGGGGTGAAGAAATAATCATAACTTCCTTTATTTGGCACTTGAAGGTTGAAAACCACACTTATAAGACGTCTAAAACTTCTGTCCTTTACATGAATGCTGTTTCTCTTGTTTGAGCAATCCTAGATAGACCAAATAAGGAACAACCTTTAATTAAAAGTTCAAATAAAAATCAAATTCATTTAAGTATTTTTTTAACTGCATATATATATAAAACACACACACACATATATATGATTTAATAATAATAATTATTATTATTTTTAACTAGCCTATATATATAAATATATATATATATATATTATTTTATATATATAACAAATATTATTCAAAATATAAATTCAATATTAACAACATACACAAAAACACAAAGTAAATATTTAAAAATATCAATAAATACATTAAACTATATCAAAATATTAATTAAATTTTTAATTTTAAAAAGTATAGGCTACCCACCTGTGCAAACAAAGTCATTTGCTTAGTTTGAATTAAATGCAATAAACCGCTTGGCCTGCATTTTATTACAGGCAACTTCTTTATGATTTATGTTTCAATTACTCTGGTACTCTGATTATTTTCACACTTGGAAAATAATTTTGGCCTGCCACAAAGTGCTAATAAAAACAGCCCAGCTGGCATCTCGTCTCAGAACAAAGCGGACACTTCCCGTCCCAGTGTTTTATATCCTATCCGTGATAAAAGACACTCCCGCTCCCTGATGAAGGCTCAAGTGAACTATTAAAACTTGTTTTTATACAGTCTATGATTAAAACACACAATCGAGAAGATCTACCCAGAATGCAGTGCAGCCCAGGCAGATCTGCGGGTGGGCGCCAGGCCTCGTCCAAAACTAACACAGTTAATATGGGGTTAGTGAGATTTCAGAAGAAACAGAAACACATTTTATAGCAGGGAGGAGGAGAGCTGGAATAACAATAATATGGTGTTATACTGTGGTCAGGCTAAACCAACATAAATTCAGCGCTGAGTTTGACAAACAGTGGCACACAGAGCTGACACACAACAGAAAAGCGCATTGCGTTTGACAATTAAACAACATTCCCTGTAGTTTTATTAGCAAGAGCAAACTAATTATCTTGGTAGTTCAGTTTATGAAGACGAGAGTTATTAAAGTTACTGAAATGCGGTGATGTTAGTGACACACAAAGACGTGAGATGTTACTGCCCTCTGCTGGACAAACAACTGCAATTGCAACGTTAATAACAATAAAACCGTGTTAAATAAACAGGGTTAAATAAACAGGGTTAAATAAAACAGTGTACAGATGATATTAGGTGAATGCCTCAAAAGTACACTCTAAGAAAAACAAAATAAAAAAGCGGCCCAGTGTACCTTGTTAATATTTTTAAAAAATTCATATCGATTTTCACGTGTGGATTAATTTGCATGTGTGGGTCATATTTCACTCTAAATCAAAAGAAAAATATAACTATTTTGCATTAAGAAAATGAAGCCTGTTTAGGACCATAAAGAGTTGTTGCAGAGAGAGAGAGAGAGAGAGAGTCACCAGCTAGCTACGAAAACCATCCATCATTGTGGATATTAATGTCATTCAGTTTTATTTTTCAGTAAACAGCAGTGAAAACAGATTGTTTAATCTGAAATACACAATATAGCTTGATATATGAGGTAAAAACTAAAAACTCTTTTCTGAATGTATACGTTAGCCATTGTGCTAATCAGCTTATAATATATAGATACAGTTCACGAGAACACATCAACACATAGATGAGCTGTAATGTTGCATAACTACAGTAGTTTCCCAAGCTGCTTTAGCTAATAGACACAATAAAACTACAAAAAAAAAAAAAATAAATCGATGCCAAAACCTAAAAAAAACAAGTTTTTAACATGGTCATCCAGAAGTATATTCAACTCACCGTACAGATTCATAAAAAAACGTTAATATGCTGATTTGCTGCTCAAGAATTTTTTTTTTCCATTATTATCAACGTTGAAAAATATATATTTTAATATCTTTATATTAAAATTATTTTTTAAATTAAAGTTAATATTTTTGTGGAAACTGTGATACATTACTTTCATTATTCTTTGATGAAAGGAAGGCTTTATTTGAAACTGAAATCTTTTTTAACAATACAAATGCCTTCACTGTCACTTTTGATCAATTTAATGCATCATTTCTAAATAAAAGTATTAATTTCTTTCAAAACATCTTACTGACTGCAAACTTTTGAATGATAGTGTATATTAATAGCATAATTTAAAAGTTCTTAGTATTTGGTTTGTCTCTTTTTAAGTGCAGAATCTAAAATATTTTTTTTATGATTCATTTATTCATTATTCATTTAAATCCTGCATATTTCCAGGTTTGAAGTCTCATACTTTTGGAGCCCACTACATGAGTGAGGTCTGAAACTAAAAAATAATCATATGTTTTGCTATTCAGGCATGTTTTTTTTTCCCCCAACATGTCTCATAAATTCATGTGGTGAGTGTTCACAAGTTAATATTATAGTGCTACTTTTCATACAACTGCATATTAAAAACACAAAATAGATGTTTAGCACTAAATCTACTCTATGTACATATATTCTTCTATATATTTATCAGAGGTCCAGATAACAAATGAGGCTCTAAATGTCAGCGTCTGCTCATGAAGTCTTTCTATACTTGTGTCACCTCTAGAAAAAAACGTATTGAGGATCTCAGACTTCTACAGTACGGCGATTACTAAATACCTTAGGATTACACTGCCCTCTACTGGCCGACGATGGAGCGCGCAAGCAGGATTTGCAACGTAAAGCAAAACTAGCGTCCGATTTGAAGACGTCACAAGTCTTCTTCCATGCTGAAGCTACTTCTACGACTGCTCGTTTTGGACGCTCCCGGGGAAACCGAGGAAAGCAGGGGATCGGCGCCCCCTACGGGCGACAGAGCGCCGCTGTCATCCATCAAAATATCCCCTAACCCCATATCCGCCATTAGGGCTGGATTAAACATGGAGGCCGCGGGGTCGTCCAGCTCGGCGAAGCTGAGTATCCCGAGGTCCAGAGGGCTGGTGACCGTCCCGCCCACTGAGGAGGCGGAAGAAGGCGGAGATAAGAACGAAGAGGGCGTGGTCTGGTTGAGGGACAGAAGGGTCTTGGAGAGGTCGTTGCTGGGGTTGTGATCCAGAGTTAAAGTCTGAGTCTGGGTCAGCGTGGAGTCAGAGATCTGAGATGATGAGATGCCGTGGAGACGAGCTTGCATTTCCAGTTCCTGTCGATCACACAGCCTCAATCATTAAACTGCAGAGGGGCATTTACAAATGCACAACACGCATGTCAAATCACAACTTAAGGAAATAATAATTAGGCACAATTGTCTCAAGATGCCAAAGTTCCAATTAGAGTTGAACAAAGGTCAGCTTTATGCAAATGAGTGGTGGTGTGATGAGGCAACATTAGGCCTATTTCTGAATGAAATAATAAAATGCGACTTATACCCGACTTATGTTTTTTCCCCCCCTAAAAAACTAAATTTTTTTATACGCGTAGTGTATTTTAACCATGCAGCAAACCTTTTTAAATATTTTGATAAATTACTGAAAAAACTTTTTAAACCGTTTAACTGATTGTATTAATCGGTCAAAATTCTTACGGTCGGTTAACCGGTTAAAATGAACATCCCTAGTATATTTTTAAATATTTTGATAAATTACTGAAAAAACTTTTTAAACCGTTTAACTGATTGTATTAATCGGTCAAAATTCTTACGGTCGGTTAACCGGTTAAAATGAACATCCCTAGTATAGCATGAACAGCTACTAAGCAACCGCAAACAGCAATGTCGCTTAGATCCATATGTTTTGACAGTAAGAGCAAAGAAATTACGTGGAAGAAAGTAGGAATGGGATCAGGACACATAATTCAAGCTGGAATCAAATTAGAGTCTATTTAAGAGTTTTAAGTAAAATTAGAGTCTAAATTAAAGTCTGAATTAACACTAGAGCTCAATGTGTCTAGAATGTGTGCTTAACTGATAGGCCATAGCTCCAATTCATTTCATGTTACTATGTCAATTTTGAAAAGAGGATGCACATTTTTGGGTAAAGGGGAAAGTAGTAAATAAGGATTAGCTTAAATGAAAAATAAAATAATACATAAAATAAAATAAACCTAAATGATTACTCATAGTGATGTAACGATGAACCGCGAGCTGGTTGAAAATCGATTCAAATATGTCACGATTCAAATCGGTTGAGATGCCAAACAAATCGCGATACAACTGGAGTAGGAGTTTATATGAATACATCTCTGAGGGGAACTGACTGTCTTTAGAAAAGTTTACATGGTATTTTCATTTCATCTTGCCTCTGAACGATGCATGTTAAAGTAGAGTTCATAAGCGCAGCTCTGCTATGTTTACAGCAGTAACCCAGGAAACACTGTATCATTGCTGTTCATAAGCGCCACCTGCTGGCAGAGAGTGAATTTGCGTCTCATTCAGCTCGTTCAGATATGTTTTATGTAGTATAGTTTCAGTCAGACCATTCTGTTTTTGCTTCAAATTTCGAAATGATACAGTCTCTAATTTAGATAAAAAATTGCTCATGCTGCATCTTTGTTTGGATGATGATTAAAATGCAGTGGTTGCTAGGGCTGCACGATAAATCGAAATGGAATCGAAATCGCGATTAGACAGAAGCTGCGATTGTCATGTGTATCTTTCAGTGAAGCACGGTTCTGTGATCAGCAGTAAATCTCCATCCAAAGGCCAGAGGGCGCTCTCGCGCGGAAACCCCAAATACGCTTCGCAGAAGAAACCCAGGAAATGCCTATAGCGGTAGCTGGATAAACAGAAGATTTAACTGCTTTTATTGATTCAACGTGACTAATAAACACACGATTATGACAATATATGGTTTATCTGAGTTATTATTATTATTATAATTTTCATTAAAATAAAGTATATTTATAATGCAATGCCTTTATCACTGCTTAAATACTATGAAATATGTTGCGTGCCTTATTCTCTCACAGAAGGATTTATTTCAAACACTCGACTGACATTATGAAGTGAGTTTGGAGTAAAAACATGTTATTAAACGTGGCATTTTCATGTGTTTTCAGATTTTAATACACAGAGCCGTAGTTCACTGACAAGTTACGCAAAAAAAACGATTTTATTGCGCGATTATGAAATCGTTGAAATCGTTCGAGATAATGACAGCTGTTTGCATAGCTTCTCAGTGAACTACGGCTCTGTGAAGTAAATGCTGCTCCATCTGAAAGCATGTGAGCCTTAGTTTGTTTATATGAAGAGATTTATTTTATTAGTGTAACTTAGCTACTTGTTTGATTTGAGGTTTGTTTTAAAATTTCAACTTAGTTTTGTTATATTTCAATTTCACAAAGAAACGTGCAGCAATAGCCTAATAAAAGGACACCTTTTCATTTACTGTATAATCTCATTTTGTTAAAAAATATTGTGAGAAAATCGAATCGTGAAATAAAAATCGTGGGATTACATCCCTAATTACTCACATTTTCTGTGTGGTGTTGCTATTATTCCCTAAAACTACAAATATTAAAAATAAGAAGTTTTTACTAAAACAAACTATTAAAAACAATAGTTTTCATTAATTGAAATTTAGCTGAAATAAAATATCAATAATAGATAAAAATGAGAAATGTTGCCTTGGCAACTAACTGAAATAAAGTAAGTTAAATATTAAGTACTAAAATTACCAAAACTAAAACTGATATAAAAATAAATTAAAGCTAAATAAAAATATATAAATATAAAAATGACTAAAACTAAAATGACAACTGAAAATAAATGAATAAAAACTAATTCAAAATATTTATAAATAGTAAAATAATAGTATATAAATAATACTATTACTAATAATAACTCTAATAGAGTCACAATAATAACCAATTGTGGAATGGATTTAAAAATGGTAAAAGATTTTCTTTGGAAATCTACACGGCAGCATACCTGAATGCGCAGCAGCAGGCTGTGGTTGGCGTGTTCAAGTTTCCTCTGTCTCGTCTCCATCTCTTTGGCCCTCTGCTGCTCCTTCTGTAGCTTACGGATGTAGTCGACTGACACCTTTAGGATGGTGCCCTTGTTCAAGCGCATCTCGCTGTTGAGAAAACACATGCAGGCATGCTTATAGACACATGCACTGAACAAAACCATTAAAAGTAAGACAACTAGAGTGAGGAAAAAGTCAAAAAAAAAAAAAAGTCACTGATTTTTTTTTTTTATTGCCACTTTAAAAAAAAAATCCATTAAAATTATATTTTTTAATTCAGATACAACAAAATAATACTCTTAAGACTTTTTGTACTGTCATAACTTAAATTATCTTTTGAATTGAATTCATTCACCACTGGAAACAGTCACTGTTGAAAACCAGACAGAAGTGAGAACGAGAGCAGTGATACTGACGGGTCAGAGGACTTTGGAATGAGAGCTCCAAGTTCCTTAATGCGGTCGTTAATGTTGAACCTTCTTCTCCTCTCAACTGCAAAACACACACACACAAACACACACACTTTAAATCGATGGGAATGACTAGACAGGCAAGATGTTTGTTTTAGATAAACTGAAATATAATTCACTTCCTTATACTCTACCAAGGATGATTAATGTGCACATAGTGATGACAGTTCTCAGAGATAAAACAGAAACTGCAGGTAAAATCTGCAAGAAATCACACTCACTCAAGTTATGATTGTCTTTTTTCTGTCTCTCCTTCATAATAGCTTTTGCCTCGGAATCTATAAAAAAAAAACCCACAATATAGCAATTTATATTTAATCTTACAGGGGAAGTGTGCAATTTCTTTGTCACTTCCATCACCAGACAAAAATGCCAAAACAATGACTGTTTCCAAACAGGTATCCTGAACAGTCTCTCCGTCTGCCATTGGTTGAACAGATGGTTGTGTCTCAAATTAACACCACTTGCTGAGTTAAAGTAATAGCATCGTCTGACTGAGATGTGGGACTTTTTGTGAGAATCAACTAGGGCTGCACGATAAATCGCATGCGATATTTAACGCGCATCTTGTCAGTAAAGCCAGTTCTTTAATCAGCGGTAAATCTCCATCACGTGCGGGCTTTCACATGGAGCAGCATTAACTACACAGAGCTGTTGTTCACTGACAAGCTGCGCAAAATCACGATCATATTTTGCGCAGCTTGTTGGTGAACAACGGCTCTGTGTAGTTAATGCTGCTCCATGTGAAAGCACGCTGATTACAGAATGGCTTTACTGACAAGATGCGCGTTAAATATCGCATGCGATTTATCATGCAGCCCAAGAATCAACCAACAAATACCTTATTTATTGTGGTTTCTGATAGTAAAATCAGATAAGGGAAGTATATCACTTCACCTTTAAGCTATTTTGTCAAGTCACCGTTATTAATATAGCGCTTTTTACAATGCAGATTGTGTCAAAGCAGCTTTACAGTATTAAAAAAAAAGTGAAATAGTGTCGAAATAGTGTGCCGTTATCCTCTGGCCAGACGAGACCAGCAGTTTAATTCTAGGTTGCAACAAAGGCAGATTGTGCAGAGGACACATCTGGTTCCCGTGGTCTTGTCCCAATGGCCGTCTAGATGATGAGGTCATCTTATGTTAGCTAAATAACATTCACAAATAATATCCGCACTTCTATTATTCCTGCTAATTTATTGCAATTGCTACTAAACCATCAGTTTTACTTCTATAATTCTTTCATTTTTAGTGCACAGTGTGCAGTGACTGATGAATGATGGGTATTTACACTAATCACTTAGTCACAAGTTCTGCAAAAGCATAAATATCCACTGATACAATAATTAATCATATGCAACGATGACTGTTGCATATCAGAACTGGGAACTGCTGTGAAATTGGGAAATGGCAAATGTGGTGTGTAACTCTGCTGATACAGTCAGACTGACTCGACTGGCCGGTGAAGGATCGGTGCCAGAGAAATGAGGAAGAGGAAGCAGCGAAATAAAGAGATGGAAGACCACAGATTGAGATACACACCGGTCAACTCTCTCTTGCCGTTTTGCAGGTCTGCAGGGCAGGAGCTGCTGACGGTGAAGCTGGGCGCCGCCATGCCCTGACTGCTGTACACATCCAGGAGGTTTCCTGAGACCGGCAGCTGTTGAAAACCAATCACAATGAATTAAACCAGGACCCCACCCACTGCATTATCTGGTCAGAGGCCAGACTGCCACATGGTGCACCGTATGGATAACCTTCATTCAGTTCAGATAACCACAAACATGAACCTTCATATCTGAAGGGCGACATCTTTAACAATGGCCAAACGGCTCTGTGTGCACGCTTATTTCTAAAGTGAAACAAACTAGACAAGGCGAGGACTATCATATGGATAAAATATGCAAATGTGTGTAAATAAAAAGCATTTCGGAAGGAAAAATTACAAATACATAAACTGTCCTCTGTTAGTGCTTACTGAAAATTTGAGAACATAAACAGAGCACATCTAACCACAAATTTGTTTAATTTCTTAATAAAAACACTCATGTAAATCTCCACACAATAACCAAGTTATCCTGCTTGCGTTTCATAAATGAGCAGCAGCAGATGCATTAAGAGCGCTGAAAACAAAACTACAAACTGCAACCTTGACGTCAGACATTTTTGAAATAATTAAACCAGTTACAGAAGATTCATAAACATGCTTGAATTTCAAACGCGCAGGTTTACCAGAAAACGCATTTCATTCATCTTGACAAACAGAGCCAGCCTGAAAGGCGACTTTTTCTTTTGTAAAACTGATTAAGCGTGCAGAAATCAATGATTTAAAATCCATCTTATGCTGAATCTGCTGACCTGAGGCATAGAGATGCTCAAATAAACCCAACAGATCGTTCACAACATGCTAAGATTACTTAAAATGTCATAAACGCATCAATCTGTCTTTAAAGCAAAACTAAAACCCAAACCTACCATCTTCCCACGGCATTTACACAGGACAAGCAATCCCAGAGATAAAATGCACTCAAATTTACCTCAATCTTGCCTTTTTTCTTTTCATTCTCCGGCAGTAAAACAAGAATCCTCATGTTCTCTTAAACACCCGCAGAGTGCTTCCTCTTTCTGTGCGTCTCTCCTTAAAAAGGGACGTTTAGAAATGGGGAAATATCTTTTGGAGTCTTAAAAAAAGGGCAAGCTTGCCACAGAAATCAACTCATGCACACACACGTTCAGTGGCCAGCGGTTCTGCATGTGTGTGTGTGTGTGTGTGTGTGCGGCAGCTCTCTGTCACTCCTCCGTGGCGTGCCAACCCCACCCATTGTGAGCCATGTGTTAGAAGTTCATATTTGCTTCCAGTGTTTCAAGCCCACATTCAACCCAAATGTCCCGAATGCAAACACTACACTGACAATATGCAACTAAGCATATGAGTCTAAGTTAACCTTAACTGGTTACACAAGCGCCTCTACCTGAACTCCTCCCAGACTCAACTGAAAATTACTGATTTGAAAACCAAAATTGTATTTCCAAAGCAATGGCATGTCAGAGCAGGATTCACTTGGAGACAAATTTGCTTGCATAAGACTAAGGTAGAACTGTGGGCTTCAGTGAATGACTGGAAATTATGATAAATGGCTGTTGCCGGCATCATCATCAGTGAATTAAAAAAAATTAAACGCTGTTCCAAAAAGTCATGCAAAACAAGTTCAACAAACTTTGCTTAATCAGTTCTTAAGAAATAGATGACAAAAGCGTTGCTCAATTGATCCTTAACAAAGTTGAGGATGTCGTTACATACCGTGTTGGGAAGTTGCAAACCCGAGTCGATCAGTGTCATAAATTCATCGTTTAAACTCGATTCCAGGCTGATGATGTCATCGATGACGTCTTCGATCTGTGCATTTAAAACAGAGAAAAAACAGCTTGTAGATAAAGTTTTAGATTCCTTGTGACACAAAAATCTGCTTTAAAGTGGATTTCCGCCATGAGTCATGAGGCAGATGGATGTTTAAATAACACACTACACAGCGGTTTCCAGAGTGACACACCGGCCACATGGAGATGAGAAATACAGACATCCGATTCAAAGCCAGATAAAAGTCTCGAACCTTAGCCAGCTTGTATTTCATCGTAGAGTTTTCCAGTCAGTGGTTTTGACTGGGAAGGGTCCTTCAGTACATACACAGGAGAAATACAGAACTGAAAGACTTTAATAGCCAAGCCCACACAAAGTGCAAAGTGTGCTGGGGTCATTGAGCCGTGAGTGTGATATTTACCAGCACAATGTGGTACCAAAAGCAAAGTGCCCAAGAGAGTCTGGCCGACTTCACGCAGACTTGACAAAGCGCGCTATTGTATTTAACAAACGCGAGGCGCATTCTTCAAAAGGATCTTTCCGAGTCTCAGAGCCAAACACTTAATTAGTTGTCTAGCATACTCTAAATGGCTTAAGACTTGAGATTATTAGGACAATAATTACTGGTTAGTACGGTTTTGTAAGCATGTGAAATTCACAGACTATGTCTAGCAACATAAGTGGCCTAAAGTACAAGCTGGCTGGAGAGTAAAACCTTTTCCTGTCAATACAGCATTGTTTGATAGGCAGACAATAAAACAGACACAAATACTGCTAGAATTACACTGAAGAAGGGACTGGAGCCTAGAATCATGGCATCGAGTAAGACTAAAATCTAGTCACTGAGCAGAGATCGTAAAGGTTATATTGTACTTGTGCATGTGAAAGTAGGTCAGAGCACAGAGGATTATGCTATGCTGTCACTGTTTGTGTAAATGGGTCATCTTTTGTTATGGCATTGGCTCAATGACTCTTATCTACACAATTTTTATAACTTTATTGCCATGATGTAGTACTATTAAAATTACATAATTTGGAGCTTGAAATAAGATAAAATACTGTTCAAATGTTTGGGGTTGGTAAAGTTTTTTAATGTTTTTCAAAGAAGTGTCTTATGCTCACCAAGGTTGCATTTATTTGATCCAAAATACAGAGCAGAGGACATTCATATAGAACGTAATTGAAGTCAGTATGATTTTATTCATATTCACTACTGTTCAAAAGTTTGAACTGTAAGATTGGTCGGTAAATGTTTTTGAGCACATTAATTAGAACATATATATTATAACATATTGTAAAGACAGTTATATTGTGAAATATTAATACAAATTAAAGTAACTGTTTTCTATGCGAATATATTTTAAAATGTAATTTATTCCTGTAACGCAAAGCTGAATTTTCAGAGTCTTCAGAGTCACATGATCCTTCAGAAATCATTCTAATATGCTGATTTGCTGATCAAGAAACATTTCTTATTATTGTGGAAATTTCTTATTTTTGTGGAAACCCTGATGGATATTTGAATATCAGCATATCTGAAGAACAGCATTTATTTGAAATAGAAGTCGTTTGTAGCACTGTAAAGGACTTTACTTTCACTTTTGATCAATTTAATGCATCCTTGATGAATGCAAGTTAAAAAAAAAGTAAATTTCTAATGTTGCTTTTAAGAAATAAGGGCTTTCCTTCAAAACCATCATCAATGCTAACCATGCACTTTCTTGGCAATATAAATGCTAAAACAGAAACATCTGATCTGGGTTCAGTTCATACCTCTTCTTTGTTTGATCCCAGGCTGAGCACAGCCAGCGGGCTGCTGGGAGTGCTACTGGCGGCAGGAGCCAACTCAGGGGCTGAGGCAGGCTGGGGCGAGGGCAATGTCGCCAGAGTCTGATTGGCTATTTTATTGCCAAGGGTGTGAGAGAGGTATTGCTTCACTTGCTGCCTCTGAGCTTGCTGGATGTGGTACTTTGTCGGGTTTTCCAAGTGCGTTTGGACCTGAGATTCAAATACAGGACAACCCATGGAGTAAACAGTATTTCAACATCCAAATGTTCATATTTCATGTTAATTTTTATAGATGGTCATACCTTCAGCACTTCCACGGGCACCTGGGTCGGGGTGGCCGGCAGGGCGGATGCGACAGAGATGGCAGGGGTGGCATCAGTGGGCCGCTGCTGAGCGCTGGAGGCCTGTTTTTGGGCCTCCCGTCTCTCCTGGTCCTGAGCCTGCTGTCTCATCAGCTCCTGCCTCATCAACACACGTGACGTCATGACGGAGCCGGCTGGGGTCACGGGGTCAGCAGAGGTCACAGAGCCACTACGGGGGCAGACGATGAGAATGTAAATCGGCTTAGAGTACCACGCTACACCCCCGTGCTGTAATCATATTACCACAAGCTATTTCTGAAACACAGGGCTGAGAGTTCACCGCCGAGACAGAGATCAATTTAAGACAGACAGCGTGAGAACAGCAACTTAAAACACAAGACGGTTAAAAATAATGATCTCTTATTTGCCATAGCATGAAATTTTACGTGTCATAAAATTGCATTTCTCATAAAACCAAAAACTACTGTAAATGTCTTATTTATAAGGTCTTGTTTTGAATACTTCTTTGAGGAAAAATATCAAAATGTAATGACTTTTTCTGCCTGAGGCAAATCAGGAGAATACAGTTAACCAATAATATGACTGCTCTACATTATTCCTTCAGCATATTGTGTTTCCCTTGGAAATACATCACATTGTGGATGTTAAATGCAGTGCAAATGCTATTTTATGTTGTCAACATGTCAACATAATTGATGCATTTACTTTCATACATACATATTCATTCATATTCCTGGTATACTTTTCATTAGTGCATGTTATTCCAAAGACACAAAATGTTTGTTTTCATAATATTTCATCAAAATAAAAATTAATTACATATAAAAATAATAAAATAAAAAATATGAATAAAACGTTTGAAACCTATAAATAAATAAAAAAACAATTATTTAAATAAAATATAAACATCACCTCTGAAACTACTATTTCTGTTTAAATTTTTTTCAACTCCTCTCGTCCAATCATGTAAAATGACCACTTCTTATAATCCAATCAACTGACGGGGAAAATAAAGTTGTCCCGCATATTTTTCTAACTCACTTTCACTTAGAAACATGTCCTATTATGGGGGAAAAACTGGTGGCAAGCCCGTTCACGTTGACTTTTGCAACAATAGTGTTTAACCAGGCTGAGCACAGCCAGCGGGCTGCTGGGAGTGCTACTGGCGGCAGGAGCCAACTCAGGGGCTGAGGCAGGCTGGGGCGAGGGCAATGTCGCCAGAGTCTGATTGGCTATTTTATTGCCAAGGGTGTGAGAGAGGTATTGCTTCACTTGCTGCCTCTGAGCTTGCTGGATGTGGTACTTTGTCGGGTTTTCCAAGTGCGTTTGGACCTGAGATTCAAATACAGGACAACCCATGGAGTAAACAGTATTTCAACATCCAAATGTTCATATTTCATGTTAATTTTTATAGATGGTCATACCTTCAGCACTTCCACGGGCACCTGGGTCGGGGTGGCCGGCAGGGCGGATGCGACAGAGATGGCAGGGGTGGCATCAGTGGGCCGCTGCTGAGCGCTGGAGGCCTGTTTTTGGGCCTCCCGTCTCTCCTGGTCCTGAGCCTGCTGTCTCATCAGCTCCTGCCTCATCAACACACGTGACGTCATGACGGAGCCGGCTGGGGTCACGGGGTCAGCAGAGGTCACAGAGCCACTACGGGGGCAGACGATGAGAATGTAAATCGGCTTAGAGTACCACGCTACACCCCCGTGCTGTAATCATATTACCACAAGCTATTTCTGAAACACAGGGCTGAGAGTTCACCGCCGAGACAGAGATCAATTTAAGACAGACAGCGTGAGAACAGCAACTTAAAACACAAGACGGTTAAAAATAATGATCTCTTATTTGCCATAGCATGAAATTTTACGTGTCATAAAATTGCATTTCTCATAAAACCAAAAACTACTGTAAATGTCTTATTTATAAGGTCTTGTTTTGAATACTTCTTTGAGGAAAAATATCAAAATGTAATGACTTTTTCTGCCTGAGGCAAATCAGGAGAATACAGTTAACCAATAATATGACTGCTCTACATTATTCCTTCAGCATATTGTGTTTCCCTTGGAAATACATCACATTGTGGATGTTAAATGCAGTGCAAATGCTATTTTATGTTGTCAACATGTCAACATAATTGATGCATTTACTTTCATACATACATATTCATTCATATTCCTGGTATACTTTTCATTAGTGCATGTTATTCCAAAGACACAAAATGTTTGTTTTCATAATATTTCATCAAAATAAAAATTAATTACATATAAAAATAATAAAATAAAAAATATGAATAAAACGTTTGAAACCTATAAATAAATAAAAAAACAATTATTTAAATAAAATATAAACATCACCTCTGAAACTACTATTTCTGTTTAAATTTTTTTCAACTCCTCTCGTCCAATCATGTAAAATGACCACTTCTTATAATCCAATCAACTGACGGGGAAAATAAAGTTGTCCCGCATATTTTTCTAACTCACTTTCACTTAGAAACATGTCCTATTATGGGGGAAAAACTGGTGGCAAGCCCGTTCACGTTGACTTTTGCAACAATAGTGTTTAAAATATATACAACCATCAACATTTAGCAGACACTTTTATCCTAAAAGCTTTAAGAATGTGAATAATACAAACAGAAAATGTCCTTTGTAACATTATCAAGCTCTGCTATCAATGAACACTGCTTACATAACAACAACAGAGCAAAATAAATCAAATCTCTCTGTACAGTCTCACATTTACAACAATACGGCCTTCACATTCCCTTCACACAGACTCGATTTTTCTGATGAGTCATTCTGGGAAGTACCAGAGCCAACGGAAAACAAGCAGCCAAGACCACGCTGCCTCAAACACACAGTTTGCAAAAGAGCAAATCCAAAGAATACTATGTCAGGCTGATCATCCTGTCAGATAAACCTGAGAGACTGTGGGAGACAGCAGCGTGTGAACTTTGAAACACTCGTATAATTGATTTATCTTAAAAAACACTCGGCTATGTAATTCTGCAAACACAAACCACTATCCTAAACTTACTTGATTGCTCCATAATCAATATGATTTTTTTTTTTTGTAAGAAGAGCTGTAGAAAGAGGTATTACGATTGATCGGGGTGTTTAGATTTGTGCTGAATCACCGGGAAGTCCCTGGAAACAGACACTGGGAAGTTCTGTCAACAGAAACCCAATGCCCCGTCTAAACACCTTCAGGACAGCATGCACTGACCTTTCTCATCGCATTAAAAAAAACATGCGGCACTCACACAAATGGGCACAAAAACAGTGCTTTATTTCACATAAAGTGAGCAATGTAATGAATTAAAAAAAACGAGAAGAATGTAAAATTTCTCAACAATTTAGAAGTACAGTAACTGCCGGTAAACTCCCACGGGGTGAAGCTGATTATACCGTACACCAAATCAATATGTCACAGGTATGCAGCAAAATATGATCAAAAACTTCTAGGCATCTAACACAGAGCATGCAGGAAGTAAATCAGATACGATTGCGGTTCTCTCATAAGCGTATCTGGCATGCGGTCACAGTCTAAATGTGTAGGTGAGAGTACAGAAACAAACAGGAAGTGTGCTTTGATAATTGTGGTAACCGGACTCACCATGGGGTGATGGGTTGACTCTTCAGCTCGTAGAAAGTGTCCGAATCGGTGGAGAAAACGCCTTCTACCTCAATATCTGCCACAATCCCAGACTCAGGAAGAAGGGGTTCAACACTGAGAAAGGAAGAACACAGCTACGTCAATTACTGTCAGTCCACAAGCTTCTCCTGTAATCAGACATGTTGATGCAGAGACCCATGAACAGGAGGGGTGTGAAGTAAAATCCTGGAATTAATAAAGACTCCCACTCACTAACCACAGTTCCTCATTCCCAATACTGTTTAATACATCACAGACTTTGATGGCAGGAAAAACCATGCGCATATAAATTACACAGAATACAGTACAATCTATCACTTAATACATTATCATACACTTTAAAGATGCAAAATCTTAATTTAAATATGTATATATATATATATACACACGAGACGTGCTGAAATCGTGTCTGGTCACGTACTGTATCGCGTACCTTGTCAGTGTCGTGCGCTTTGCTTGGCCATTTGTTGCGATAAACAGGAAAGTGTGTCCAGCTGAATTATTAAAAGGCATTATTTATTATTAATTTAAGCATGCTTTTTAGACCTGAATGCCCTTTATTTTACATATTTACAATTATATAAAATATATATATATATATATGCCCTAAAAGAACTCTTGCTCATAAACCTACATAGACAGCATATTTTGAGCATTGAGCATCAACAGTCAAAATCTAGTGTGCCTACATGGACAGCATTCTTGGCCATCCAAACTTTAAAGAGCATAAATGCCATAAAACTAGTCAGCTTCTCACCTATGCAACATTTTTGGCACTGATCCCAAAAAGTGATGTCTATATAGGCAGATCACAAGGGTTTGAGACACATCCACTATCTTACCAGTATCCTGCTATAACAGAAAGGTGACAAAAACATCTACAACACCATCAACTCTGGGCATAAAATATTAAATAGCATCCACAGAGAGCTCTAAATGCAATTCTAGATGACATACCTAAAGCCTCTTCTGGATAGTGGAATAATCCAAATGATGTAATCAAATCAAACGTTATCAAACGAAAGTATTCCGGTAAATCCGGTTTGTAAACCCCATCAACTCATGGTCTGTATCTGAATCCCGGACTGATAGGACGCTGTCACGCTGATTTGCACGGTCTGAAGGCGAGATTTTACGCGCAGAGCATCGCCGTTTCGCTAGTGTTTTGGTTTCACTGGGTGGCCATGTTTGTGCCACTCCGCGCACGCGAAGCTCCTCTATCCTCCGGTGAAATTACGAAACCTACTACGATGAAGGTTTAGCTCATGTATATTAAAAAGCTCATTTAGACGTTGCTTGGTAACCTTCCCAGAGCTGTCAGTCAGAATACCAAATTAATATCCATTGACCACGCCTTCGCTATTAATTGGTCAGCTGACTAGCGCCCACTCGCCCACGCCTGCCTTTGAGCCAATCAGCTTGGCGGTCTGGGGAGAGCTAATTAATATTCATGAGCCAAGCCTTCAGCGTAGTACAACATGTATTCGCTACCCGGCCTTTAGAGATTCGAGCTTTTCAGTCTGCTTAACTTTCGCTAAATACCCCAATTTCAACGAAAATGATTGAAATACTAGAAAATCTTCCCTAAACTTAAATAATCGGTGTTTTCCAAGAGTATCAGCTGCGGACTGCCCCTAATAAAACTACAGCTTTACTAAAAATAGACAAATGGAAAAGCCCAATATCAGTAGTCACCGCCAGAGGGGAGTCACTCCATCAATATAAATGTATTTCCTTTTTATTCTACTCTTATTTTTAATTCATTTCATATATTTCTTTATTTGGCTTACCCTTACAAAACAATATACGCTTTCTGCAGTATTGTAATATAAGAATGGGTGTATTTATTTTCAATCTATTTTAATCCGTTTTATATTATTTCTAACTGTAAACAACGAGACTTTACACTTTCAAAAATGTTTAATTAATCTGATGTATTTATGTATCATCACTAATATAATTCCTTGTTGTAATACTTTATTTTACTCTTACTGTACTAAACACAACTACCACCAGTGTGATAATGTGACAATAAAGAATCTTGAACTTTGAAAGCACATTATGCAACAACGGCTATTTAAAACATAAAAAGGTCACCTTTTATGGTAATTGGGCTATAGGGAGAAAAATCAGTTTTTTCTGAGGATAGCAAATGAAAAACACATGCTTTTAGGGTACAAAAGGAGCAAAATAGCATGTGCTCAGCAAGCATTCAGTCAATGCAAGCAAGAACTTGAGAGGAAGGACATCAAAAACAGGGATATAGAAAAAAGAAAAAGGGCAAAATGTGTGGGTAGATTTGCCGAGTCATATCCCGTGAAATCTGAGGCTCAGGACAGACACGACAAAACAAAGCCTCTGGTTAAACGGCTCTTGTGGGTCGAAGTAACACAGACAAGCATTCCAGAGGAATTTTTTTGGCAGGGTGGAAGGGAGGGAGGTTAAATGGCTTTGAGGTTTGGTTTGAGGAATTTAAGGAGACGGTTCTTTTGATATTCTGAAAATTCTCACATTAGGGGAACTTCAGGGAGCCTACACAACTCATTTATTTTCTTTCAGCTTTCAATAATATATTGTATTTTTGTTGTTTTTGGCTTCATATACGTGATTACTTTTGCAACTTTTATGTACAGGACTTTGGTACCCATTACGATTTGAAAGTGCTACAGAAATAAAGTTGAGTCAAGAGTGCATTTGAATTCTCATGCATAAAAAGACTGTCATGTGCCATGGCTTCTTCCTCTTGCACGCTATATTTAGAGACTTTCAATTTGCCCAAAAACAATATTTGCAATGTCCAACATCTGCTTTTGGTTACGGTGCATAATAATCGTAATATTTTAATAATTTGAATGAGAAATAACCTTTGAATAACTGCAACATTCCTTTGAGTACAGTCAAGTTTTACACAAAACTAAAATGCATAACCCTAAAAAACACAAAACCAAAAGGAACAGTCTGATTCTGAATCTACACACTAAAACTTAACTATCAGCACTGCAATGAATGTAAAATATTGATGCATTGAACATCCTCTAATCCCAAGCATCCAGGTACACTGATGTGTTTATAAAGTATCTAGTTTATCTTCCAGGAGTTGTCAATACTTTAAATCTCTAACATGAAGTACCCTTAGGATGAAAACACAAAATCACTTTGTGGTTTGAATTAGTCATTAAAACCAGAGTTTATGTGATGCTCGTTCACTCACCTGATGAGATTGACAGATTTGGCTGAGGAGTCTAATATGACGTAGACGGTCTGAGGACGCTCGTGCAGCGCCTGTTGCCCAGGTAACGCCACTTCCGGTCTGCCCTTCTCGGGTTCGACGGAAAGCAGGCTGGACATTTCTCCAGGTGTAAAATGGTACTTAAAAAGAGCAAAATAAACGAGCTAGAGTAACCGAGAATGATACTAATCTGAGCTAAAGTTCACAAACAAAATAAAACCAGTTGTTTTCGGAAGAGGTTGAATAGAGGACCGTCGCACTTCCCGACCGCTAGCGAGATGTTTACTGCACAACTGGTCTATGCGTTTCCCCAGATTCCCGTGTCGAGGCTTCCTTTATCAGTCTGCACTACAGCTTGATGAAAAATAAATGCGTCTTAGAAGTCCGAAGTCCTTAGTTCCTTAATCAGAGTCTGGCTGCTGTGCAAACAGTTATCTCGCTCTCTTCTCCGCACACTGAGGGGAGTAAATCTGACTGGAAAACCCAAGTGACGCTCCATGATCAGCCGAGTGTGGTCAGACAGACGAGCGGTCCAATGGCTGTGCAGCGTGGGCGGGGCTTCACTGCGATCAGCCAATAGGCGACCGATAGAATACTTGTTTACTTCAAACGTTAGGTCAGCCCAGAGCCATAGGGTCAGCCCATAGGGTCAGCCTTTGATATAACATTACAAACTATTTCGTCATCCTTTAGTTTTAGATGACGAACCTCCGTGTCTGGCGGTGATATTCTAAAAAAAGAATAATGAAATTAAAATAATGTTGACGATGAAATGAATACGCTGTGATTTAATTGAGCATATAGTATGGCATCTTATTTGCGTATATAAAATAGAAAAAAATATTATTTTATTTAAACTTAATTTATTATAGCCTATGCATACAGGTATGTGTTTTTGACACAACAGGCTACTTTTTTTTTTTTTAAAGCTTTACAGGCATAAATTCCATGTATTTGTGAGACCTATTACGTTTGATAAACTATTATATGGCCTAGCTAGTTTAAATCACAAATGTATGTAGCCTATCTCCTCGTTATATATACACAAATGTAAATATATACATATCCTCTTTACACACACACACACTTGTAAGATAAAAAATCGTACAAACTACTGTATCACACATTATTTAGATAAAATGAATGAAAAACTCTTTTTGTTCTTTTATTACTTTATTTCATAAACATTTTCATGATCTTGCACAGAATTCATTGGGATATTAACATACAATGGTACCCAGTGGCCTGCCACTAATTTAATCAACAATAATAATTATAATAGTACTTGAAATAACAATAATACCCATTATGTGTACAATAAACCAGGTTTCATGAGGGAAAACAATAGCATGTATACTTGTGCCATATAGTGTCATGGTTTGGCTAATAGGATTGAAAACGTATTAAAAAAGCTCGTAATGCAGCAATTTCTTGGTTTTCTGAGAGAGTGTTTCTGAGCAAAATAAGACGGCGTGAACTGTCCTTGAGAATATCCACTATAGGGCTATCTGGCAATGTTTTACAAATCCCTCTCTGCTGATTTGTTGCAGACGTACATCACATGAAGAGTCAGCAAAAAAATGACAGAAACGGGTCAGGAGGCACTCATTCCACTACCTCGGGTTTGGCATGCTGTAATCATGCCAGAGAGCAGAGGAGAAGGAATGGTAGATCATCTCTAGGCAGGTAATCATTAACATCTATGAGCAATACAGCTGTCCATGCCTCAACATTGCTCTCTTTAGCGTCCATATAAAAGAAACCTGCTTTACCAAACGCTGGCTTACAATAAATAGGGTTTAAAAGTTTGGCATGTAATAAAGTAATCGTCGTCATGGCAAAAATGAATTTGGTGCAATAGAACTAGATTATAAACATGAACAAGATTAGAACCCTCAAGTCAAAAATCCAGGTGTAGGAACAGATTACATCATCATCAGACTGTGCTATTCATGGAATCTTTTGGTATGCAGATCTGAGCATATACAATATATACAATGTAACATTTAACTCTCTGTTCTGCACCACAGAGATGTAACAGTTTCTCCCAAACGATTCTTGCCACAGAATAATCCACTGTGTTATTACTCCATATTAAAGACTAGAAACTCTGTTTTTATAACCTGTTCATTCAGATACACTGAATGTACGTATGCAGGAAAACTGAATTCCTGATCCCATCATATCATATATTTATAAACACAAAGCTGTTCCCTTGATCAAACAATAAAATAGCACCTCTGTTTCTGTATATGACACTTAATGTCAGACTGTTCAGATAGTTTTGCTTAAAAATGCACAATTGTTCTTGCTAAAATGAACTACAGTGTATTTCATCTGTATCTTCTTTGAATAACGTCGTTTTTGTGAGATTTCAGAGAAATATATCCTTTAAAAAATAGTTAACAATTAGATTTTGTGGACTAAGGGATGAAGAATAGAAACGAAAATATTAAAAATCAAATTTCATGCATTAACTTCCAATTACTGTTGGACGTGGAGCACACAGAAACAATAACTTATATTCTCCCAAATGTTAACACATAGCGTTTCGCCTTTGTATTTTGGTAGTGTTCATCATTTGGTTCATTGCAGAGTTTACTAACTTCACTACAATTACCTCAAGGAGTAAAAAAGACAATAAATATCGGTATTAAACAAAAAAAAAGAAAGGTAAAGAAAACATTTCCATTTCTAATACAAATTTTCTGCAGTATACTTTGGCAAAAAGCAATTGTGAAAAACAATGTGAAGATAAGCACAAGGTTGCAAAATATCAGTAAGGCAGGATATCAAGAACAATAATACTGAGAGAAGCAGGAAGATGAATGCGTGTGTAAGCGTGAGTGACGGGCAGGCTCAACTGAGGATCTGGGAATGACCAGTACAAGTCGTAAACATATGGAAGTGAACACACACAGCCCTGTCCCAAAGCCATGCGCTGCCATCAACAGTCCAAAAACCTCGGAGGAAGGAAACCGCAGGCAGGCTGGAGGCTGGTGGACTGGGAAAACACACCGACTGGTTCACCTTCACTTACTCGAGCGATGTCTTTGACAACAAAGAGCTAGATTAAAGCAATATCAAACACAAAAAAGGTAAAGCAGTTCTCAATGAGTCATCAGGCGTTCACACTGGCAAATAACTGGATTCAAAAGAGGAAATGAAAATGAAGCTCTTTCTAAACCACCGAGTATCTACCTCTGGAAAAAGTGGTGAAACGAGAGAACTTATCCTAAGCTTTTCTTGACCTGGGGTTTACCACAATGCTCAGAAGTCCATTTAAAACTGCACATAACAAAGATCAAACACCAAAGCTCATCGACAATACCTAACCCACAAAACTGGGCTCAGAGAAATAAGTTATATTTACAAATGAATTTGCACTTTTCATTCACAAATACAACACGGTTGAAAACGTTTGATATCCTCATCAAAACTTTTACCTTTTTTTATTGATATATATTCTATATTTATCAAAAACCCCTCTAAATAAGGCAGGGATATCATTGAGTTTACAATGATAAAAACTAGCCCGATTCATACACACCCTCATGACCTAAAATCCTCATATTATCTGCAGCCACAACAACCTTGCAGTCATAAAATCACTCATGCACACTCAAAAAACAGGATAAAATCTCTGTTATCCTGTAGGGAGAGCCCTGTCAATTCCTTTGATTGAAACGTTCCCATTACACACGTTTTCCTCCTCAGAATTGTTTTTCCCTACAGTTGGAGCAAAAGGGACAGTCTAAGGTGTGAATCTCACAAAACATGTCCAGGTCACAATTGCGGATGAACCCCTGATGTCACATGGATTATTTTACAGATCTCCTTGCTACGTCTCTGAACTTGGGAACATTTCAGTTGTATTGCTGTCTATGCAGGGTCAGACAGCTCTCAGATTCCATCAAAAATATCTTAATTTGTGTTCCGAAGATGAACGAAGGTCTTACGGGTTTGAAACGACATGAGGGTGAGTAATTAATGACAGAATTTTCATTTTTGGGTGAACTAACCCTTTTAAGTTTTTATTTTTTACATCGTGACATATTTTAATTACAATTAAGATGTTTTGTAATTCCTATTATTCTCAATAGTTCTTATCAGATTCTCATTACTGTAAATCAGCATAAATTAAATACAGTACCACATATAATACTACACTTTATAAATATTTTACAATTTAAATAATATATAATTTATTTCACCTTACAGTAATGAGATTTGTACTAATAAACCATGTCACAGAGCAACAAAAATCTTAATGGTCATTAAAACAAGCTTCATTTACTTTACTTGCAATGCAAAATAAAGTTTCTTAATTGGTATTACATTTGGGTTGACATGTTCTTGACAGGTTCCCTGACATTCACTCCTAGAATGTGTGCGAGCTACAATGAGCGTCCACTAGGTGGCAGACTAAATTTGTTGGTGTTTTCTGAGCTGAAGTCAACAGGAAGCACATATTTCTGTCAGTTGTGAGTGGTTAAAACCCCCTTAATAAATATTCCTGCTATGTTCCAGCAGTTCCTGATTACCACACATGTACACTATGTTTCTGAGATCAACACAGGCTTGCATAGCTGAACCACAGTTCATGTGGCCAATCCTGTCACAATCCACTACTAAATGCAATAGCCGATGTTTTACATGTAATCGAAATGTGAAATCCAGAATTTGATCCTCTTACCAAGCGGATTATTGCCATTAATATTGGCAGGATTCATAGTCCACTGACTTTTACTGATTTAAAACAAACAAAATCAGTCATTCCCTCCAGCTTCTGGTTATGTAAACTAGGGTATTTCGCTGTAGACTCTCTAGGTCACCTAAACTTTTCATGAAATCAGGCCAAACATTCACACACAGCCACCAAAAGGTAGAACCGTCTCACTTCGCAAAACCATAGCCTCAGTCGAGTAACCACTTCACAACACTTCGAGATTTGGCAGAAACAGTCGATTTAACATAGAAACTTCTAGCGGCCGAAAGAGTTGATGCACGTAATCAAGGGGTCTTTAAAGGGGTCATATAATGCTACATGCACTTTTACAAGTTGTTTGAACTGAAATGTGTGTTGGCAGTGTGTGTACACAACCACCCTAAAATGATAAAAATCCACCCAGTGGTTTTTTGTTAATCTACTAAAATCTTTACCCCTTTCTCAAATCGAGCCAATCTCAGATGCCTGTCTGTGTGACATCACACAGACAGGCCCCTCCCACGATAGTTTGATTGACAGTAGCGTTTCAGCACAGACTGGACTGGTGTCTTACCTTAGACCCGCCCTGAGTGAGCTGTCATCAGTCCGCTATTGTTTCACCGCCGGAGCAGATGTAGACAAGAATGACTCCTAAGCGATTGAGGTGTTCTGTTGTTGGATGTAATAATGAACATAGCAGTCGTCATTTACATTGCGTTTGTTTTTGAAGGGAATGCGCCCCCCGGTCTACATAAATGCGTTTATGTTCCCGCGAATCATTCGTGATCCAGCTTCACCTACAGAAGAAGTGAGTGTAAGGTTTTTTTAACGAATCTTGGCAAATCGCCTTTCCTAATAATGTGCTAATTAGCAAGTTTCATGATGAATGCGGCTAAAGTAAACAGTCCCTCAGAGAGCGGCTCGGAAGAGAGGGGCGGGGTCAGCAGAGTTCATTAACATTTAAAGGTAAATGCTACAAAACTGCGTGCTCTGAAAAGAGCTGTTTTTACAGGGTAAAAAAGGTGTTTTTTACACTACCATTGAGAAATTTTAACCAAACTATGTTACAGACTTTTCATTAAGACCCTAAAGAATCATATCAACTTGTGGAAAATGGGCATCCTATGACCCCTTTAAGCAATAAAGAAGTTTAAAAATAAATACATTTAATGATTTGACTCCGTGGTCTTCATAAATAGCAGGCTAAGATAAAAGGTAAATGAGGTGAATGATTGAGGTAAATGTTGTTTAACCCCAAACTTTTTAAATATTAAATGTAACATGAATTTGTGTGTGTGTGTGTTTTTTGTCTATTATATCCTGTCGGTGTGGTCACATTTGTACAGTTTGTGTGTGCAAAATGATATCATATTTTCAGCCAATCATGTGCTTTCTCCCGTAGGTACTGGCTCCTCCCCTTCTTCCTCGAGGGCCTCGGATATCGGCCCGTTTGACTGCAGCTCCTCACCCCTGCCGGCTCTCGATAAGACCTCCATCCAACGTCGCTGCAGTTCCTCACAGTCGGCACTGAAGTAAACGGTCAAATGACTCTGGCTCATTTTGAAGGCATTGCGGCGTTCTAGACGGTCACTTGATTCGGGTAAGGACACCTCGAAGCCGATGAGGGGAATACTGCGCTGGGCTTTGACATCCTGTGCGTATGGAGAGAGAAAGAGAGAAGAAAAGATCAATACTTCACTGGTCAACCATTAACTGACCACTCTGAACCGCATTAGTCATGGAATGAATACTAAGGCCTTGTTTACATCTGGTGTTAACATCTGTTTGATCACATGACTCCTGGTAGTAACATGCATGTCAAATGCATCTCCTGTAGAGGTTTGGGGTTGGGGTTGTAAGATTTTCATTGTTTTTGAAAGAAATCTCTTCTGCTCACCAAGGCTGCATTTATTTGAGTAAAAATGGTAATATTGTGAAATATTATTTAACATTATAAATGTATTTACTTTGACCCCACATTAGTAAACAGTAATGTAAATATTTAGGCTTTTTGATAACTTTTCAATCATACATGTAATTTCTTTGATTGATTGGCAGTCTTCTGCTACTGTCTAAGGTGCATCAGGAGAGCCTGAAGCACAATAAAGCAATAAGCCCCAAGAAGCTGAATATTTTTGTGGAAAGTCTAATGGAAAGTTTCTTTTCGGATTCTTTGATGAATAGAAAGTTCAAAAGAACAGCATTTATTTAAAATATAAATCTTTTATAACATTATATATGTATTTACTTTGACCCCACATTAGTAAACAGTAATGTAAATATTAAGGCTTTTTGATACTAGCGTGGTGTAGCAGTCTATACACACGCGGTTGGCTCGGTTGTTATCGTACAACAGACGGGCACGGAACTCCGAACACTTCCCACACACCACCTGAAATCAAGAAGACCCATGTCAGCCCACTGCGTCAAAGAGCATGTCAGAAAACACAGGTGTGGTGTAACATACATGTCCACAGGCTTTGCAGTGATGCCGTCTTTTGGTAATAGAGTTGAAAGGCTCCTGACACTTCATGCACAGCGTGACCTCTTTCTCCCGGATTGGAGTGGGCGCTCGCTTTCCAAGCTCTGTGCAATTCTGAAAACAAAGAGCGGTCAGAGAATATTGCAGTGGCCACAAAACCTAAGCCACAGCTAAAAAGTGGGTTAAAATGTCATTGCATTAGAGCTAGTTATCATAAAAGGTGTTTGCTTTTAAAAGTAATGTGATTAAATGCCACTTGGTTTGATATCTAATGCAATGACATTCATGCATTTTTATGTGTGGCTTGAGCATCAAAAGACTTTGTGGAGCAACTATATTTTGTAGTTATTCATACAGATCAGGGGTTTTTAAACATTTTGATGCCACAGATGCCCAAATTTATGTCAATCCCTTCATGAAATATAAATGCTATATATTTTCATGTATGAAGACCCATTTAAACTGTGGAATTATGTGTAAAATATTATCTGGAAAATATTTTAATTATTTAGTATATATAATATACTTGCTATTAAGTTGACATCTTTTTTTGATTTGATTAATATGATTTACAACCAGTGTTTAGAAAACAGAAAGAAATGATAATTGTTAATTAATTAATTTAAAAAACTGTATTATAACATATTATATATAAAAAAATATATATTTAAAATAAATTGTTATTTTTATAATATTCAAATATATGCTTTAGTATTATTTCAATATATGTTAGTAACATAAGTTTTTTTTTTTTTTTTTATGTACATGTTGTAAACATATATGTATACATATCCCTGCAGAGCACCATAGATATACAAATGATCATTTTTAATTAATTAATTCAAAAATGTATTATATTTTAAAACTATATTATTTTATTAACATATTTGAATTGAATAGAGGTCTCTGGACCCAAGTTTGAAAATCCCTGATAGAGACTGCATTTTATTTTTCCCATAAAAAATCTGAACGAGGCCTGGATATGATTTATTTTAGTATAATTTATATATTATTCGAGTACTTATAAATATTTTGAATTGGCTTTTATTTTTCAGTTTTCATTTTAATTTTAGTAATTTTGTCATTATTTTAATATTTCTATTTAGCTTTTATTTTTTGGGATTTCAGTGTTAGTAATTTTAGTACTTCAACTTAAAATTTCATTTGGTTGCCAAGGCAACATTAACATTTTTTTTTAAGTTACATTTTTCATTTGTTATTTATTTTTCAGCTTTATTTTAATGAACAAAAATGATTTTAAATAGTTTTACTTTTAGCTTTAGGTAACAACACTGCGAGTGTTAAGATAAAACGAACCGGAGAGTTTGGAGGAGTGAAGTCCTCCTCCCGAAACGAGCAGTTGAGCATGCGGAAGGTCTCCAGCGTCTGTTCATGTCTCTGTATAGTGGCCTGGATCGCCTGTGAGAAAGTGAACAAAAATGAGAATAATGTAAGCAGGAGTGTTATAGTCGAGAGATATGAGAACCTGTGATATGATGAAGAAAAGCTCACCTGAATCCAGTCTCTCTTCTCCTCTTCCGTCCTGGTGAAAATGAAAACGGCAAACGTTTTAAAAATGCCAAAAGCCGCACATATTTCTCTTGTTTTTCAGTGGCTGATATGCTTATCTTGGGTATTTTCTCCTAATGCCCAAAAGCTCGGACAACATTTCTGTGGTTGTCAATCAACCTCAAATTTTATTTTTAAAGCAGACGAAGCACATTCCCTCAGCCGTACCTTGCTTGCAGTTCTAGTGAACGTTGTTTTCCCGACACCAGAAATGTTCGCGGTACGTTCATGCTGCTGGTCTCCTTCAGCTGTGAAGCAATGCAGAGTGAATCAGCCGTTTGATATCAGCAGATTTATTTTGAGTTTTATGCTGTAAATAAGATAAAAACATGCTGAACCTCCATGCCGTCAACGTCAATCCGTGCTCGCACTCCAAACTTCTGTCCAATCAGCCTCAGTTTGGGAACGCAGTACAACAACCTGTCATTGAACTTCAGAGAGACGAGCAAAGTTAAACGTGCATGATTTAGCAACAATTTTACTAAGAAAAAAACATTTGAAGGTATGATTTATGTCATTTATGTTTGTCTTTGACTCACCAGAATGAGGTATCTATCCTGTGATGTCCCGTTTTTAGCTGACAGTTTCAGGATGTGTCCCTCTTTAATGAGCTCATTAGTCGGGTTAACAATGTCCTCTTCTCCACCGAGCAACTCGTACACTTTCAACAGCTTTCTCATGCGCTCCTGAGGGACAAAACATTCACACGTTTGTAGAAACATTTGTCATTTCATTCAAGTAATGGCCAAAGAAATGGCCAAATTGTCCCCACCAATATTTGTTATTTTTGATATTCATATACACACATATATATCAGCAGATTTATTTTGAGTTTTATGCTGTAAATAAGATAAAAACATGCTGAACCTCCATGCCGTCAACGTCAATCCGCGCTCGCACTCCAAACTTCTGTCCAATCAGCCTCAGTTTGGGAACGCAGTACAACAGCCTGTCATTGAACTTCAGAGAGACGAGCAAAGTTAAACGTGCATGATTTAGCAACAATTTTACTAAGAAAAAAACATTTGAAGGTATGATTTATGTCATTTATGTTTGTCTTTGACTCACCAGAATGAGGTATCTATCCTGTGATGTCCCGTTTTTAGCTGACAGTTTCAGGATGTGTCCCTCTTTAATGAGCTCATTAGTCGGGTTAACAATGTCCTCTTCTCCACCGAGCAACTCGTACACTTTCAACAGCTTTCTCATGCGCTCCTGAGGGACAAAACATTCACACGTTTGTAGAAACATTTGTCATTTCATTCAAGTAATGGCCAAAGAAATGGCCAAATTGTCCCCACCAATATTTGTTATTTTTGATATTCATATACACACATATACTAGCTTTAGAAATAATATGTTCTAGGTATATATATTCTAAAAAACTAAAAATAAATATATATATATATATATATATGCGTTTATTAAAAAACTATATATAAA